GTGTGTGTGTGTGTGTGTGTGTGTGTGTGTGTGTCACCTCCAGTTTCAGCTCCGCTATGTCACCGTTCATTGTGCAGGAAATGTACAAGTTGTGATTGATGATTGACAGAACAACAGTCTGACCAATACCAGGAGAGCCATATGTCCCCATTTTAAATTTCACTAATGTGATACACAAAAGAAAAAGCAGGGGGTGGGGGGGGAGGCGGGAGAGAGAGAGAGAGAGAATGAGATGTAGATTAAATACATTGCAGTTTTATGATTTTGTAATTTCTTTAGGCCTACATGGTAAAAATCCTTGAGAAAGAAATATCCACAGAAATATTGTCAGTATCACATCATCAATCTGAGGGGGTCATGAGATGATGCATTTGCAATGTCTTGGTAAATACTGGATAAGAGACATCACTTTAATGTGAAAAGGACTCACGTACAAATGAGCGTGGATAATATTGCCTCTGATTAAATCCTACATTTTAAAATCTTGTATGTTTTTAATTCATGTCAAATATGAATGTGATAACTAACTGTAGCTGTTGGATAAATGCAGTAAAAATACAATTTCCTTGCTTGTACCTTTGTGAATGTAGTCTGCTGCAGTCAGAGTGAGGGCCAGCAGTTTTAAGTCTTTGGATTTGCAGATGATCCCTTTATTGTTTTGGTCCGTCAGACTGCACTCCCAACTACTGAGACGACGGAAGTCCAGTCTCCTCTCCCCTATGGAGTTGTTCTCAAACGTCTTGACAATTGTTGCTGTGGAGAGGAGGAATGAGACGTTTGCAGCTTTCAATTACTGTAAACAAAAAGGTGCTCCAAGACAGTTGAAGATTTTATTTTGCAAGTAGTCCAGACACTGTTTCATAGGCAACTCTGCAACTCTCATTGTCAATTAGAAGTGTATTCCTGCCAGTAACTTTCCACACTCTAAGACAAAATGACACTTTTACTTTCTTTTTTATAAAGATATTATAGGCAAGTATAAAGAGAGTTGTTTAAATAATAAATGGCATTGTAATATATAAACTGAATACTTTAACACTTCTGTTTCTGTACATTAGTAGTGGTGACCATCTGATGGACCATTCAGATTTTAAAAGCTGACATATGGTTGAGGGCTCTTCATCCACTCTATATCACATTTCAGGAAGCATATAAAGATGTGTTCTGTTGTTACCCACTCTCTATCACACTGTCCATGAGCATTCTGCAGCGCTCACTGTCACTTTGTCCTTTTTGAGACAGGACGTTTTTCATCCTGTTTGCTAGCAGCAACAGGGTAGCTGCACCCTTCATGGAACCTGGGTTTCGGGAAATCCTCAGGTCCAGTTCTGTATCAAGATTGATGACCTCATCTGGAACATCCTACAAATTCGAGAACAAACACACATCACATTCACCTGCACGTGCTTCTTCTGGTCTGAGTCACTCAAAACTGACGATGCCGTTCACTGTGTTGCACCTTATTGTGTTAGAACAGCATAGCAATGCAGGAACCACAGACTCAAATAACATCTAGGAAACAGGGATAAGGCAAAAAAATCTGGATCTGTACTGAAACAGATGAAGGTCATACACACGCAAACAGTCCAATAATACAAGCAGACAAATCTAAAGGGAGCAGGCAAACTATACAAAAAACAGGGACAAGGAAAAAGCGAAATCAAGCAGAACAAAGGCCGGGAGAGCTTAGTACACAGAGGCAACAATAGGCTATCAGGTAGGGAGGTGGTGTGAGCAGATTGGGTGGGGTATTGGTAATGAGGTGCAGGTATATGGTGAGTGCTGTGGTGGGAAACTGAACAGTCTGAAAGTTCCAAGTCGGAAAAATAAATTAAAAAAAGGAAGTGACAAACTAAAGTGCATAGTCATGATCAGCAGACCAGAACAGCGGTAAAAAAGAATTACTTAGTTACAACATAGTAGTCTCCTGTGCCAGAGTACGACATTATCTCATGTTTTTTTTGTTTACGTCATTTTTCATAGCAGCTGCACAAATGTCAAATGAACTTACCGTCTTGTCAAAGCAGAAAGATTTGAATCCTTTCTCTTCTGATTCAAGAGGGCTGAAACGCACAAAATAAGAGTATGAGATTTATAGAGGGTGAGGGGGGGGGATCCCTTTTAAATCTAAATGACCAGAAAACCGGCCTCCTTTATAATTTGCTGATTCTATCGCCCCCTCTCAGCCAGCTCCCATCCCCCATTACAGAGAGTTCGGCGTGTACACACAGAATTTGTGTGTGCAGGTGAGCATCCTGTAGTTAATGCTAACTCACAAAATCATGGGATCTGCAGGTTATTTTAAAAGTTGAAGCCGAATAGCACAGAAAACAACAGCCTCTCTCTTCTGCACAGACACACTCTGTCACGGCCAGACAGACCACCAGCTGCTCTGAGAGAAATTCAGAACACCACAAAATATGTCAACTAACTTATACTGACTATTTAAGGCTCTGTTCTCTACCTATTTTGTTCAAATAAAAGCAAAATACAAGGGGTCATGTATATTAATTGGAAACATGAGACATGCCCCTCTCAGTTGATACCACGCCCCCCTTGCAGATCAAGGACGTAAGTCTGAAAAAAAAATATCTGAAAGTGAAAAAAAGACCCAAAATATCAAAATATATATTAAAGAAAATGAAAATAAATATTTTTTAAAAAACTATTCCAGAACTGAATCAAACCCCCAAAGACGTTTATATAGATTGTTGCATTTTCCAAAGTTCAAGATCAAAACATGAACTTTTCAGTTTTTTTTAAAATGGCTCCATAATTTCCCCCCCTGAGTACCTGAGTGTGTGTGTGTATGTTTGCATGTGTGCTTGTGTGCACGTGTGCACATGTGTGTGTTTGTGTGTGTGAGAGCACTCCGCTTCAATCAGGAGAGAAGTCGAGATGTGTCACAGGAAGAGGTTTATATGAAAAGATTGTTCCATCTTTTTTATGAATTGATATGAGATCATTGAAATCAAGTTCCATTTTATTAAGAGAATAGCTTTAACCCAGCCTCCAACCAGTAATTCAGAAATCAGGAAATTCTGACGTGGCATATCAGATGAAACGTGATTCAAATGGCAAAAAACTAAAAACAAAAAAAACACCCACATATGCCCCACATTTAACTGTGAATTATTTGTACCAGATTCACAACTTCCATAGCTGACTTTGACTAATCCACCACTATTTATTTCCCTTTTTTTATGCGTGTTTTAAAATAAAAGATGCTACAATGAGAAGTGAAACAAATTGTCAGACAGAATGGAAGTTGTTCTCTTTTTGGAAGCACTAACTCAGGAGGTAACGCTGAGAGATGATATGCTGCAGGAATGTGACACAAACAAGTAATAAAATATTTCTCTTCAACACAATTGTTACACTATGCTCCTATAACACATCAAGTATGATCTAAAATTCCTCATTCTTGCTCATTATTGCTTTTAACCTGCAGTCTGCATATTTCCAAAAAATAAGGTTTGGGATTGTAGAGTTTCTTAAACTTACCTCTCAAGAGCTTGAGACAAATCAAAGTCACTCATTGTCTTGAAACTTCTGAGTGATGGTGAGTGATTTGTTTCTCTCTCTGTCAATGATTCGTCTGTCTCCTCCAGACACCCGTTGCACTGAAGACTGAGCGCCTCCGACTCACAGTTCTCCTTTATGCAACAGCTGCAGCCTTTCACTTCCCATGTCGCTCACCACACACGTAACTTTCTCTCTTGATGACATCACAAGCTGCTACCACCAACTTCAGCATATGCACATACAAGGTGTAAAACCACACTAGTCACACATCATTATTTCAAGATGTAAACATTACACAAAAAGCGGTCGTCCTCCAACCAGAAGGTCAGAATTCTGAGAAAAAAGTCAGAATTCTGAAAAAAAAGTCTGAATTCTGAAAAAAAAGGTCTGAATTCTGAGAAAAAAGGCAGAACTCACCTTTTTTTCCCCACAGTGACCCTAATCCTCTTCTGTATTATTCTAACCGATGCTGTAAATACTAAAAATGTTGTGACGTTCTCCATTACACGTGGCATCTTTTCCACTTCTGTCCGTCCTGGGAGAGGGATCCCTCACATGTGGCTCTCTCTGAAGTTGCTACCTTATTTTACACTGTTCAAAGTGTTTTTGTTGTAGTTCTTCCTTACTCTTGTTTAGGGTTAGGGGCAGGTGATGTCACACCTTGTAAAAGCCCGATGAGACAAATTGTGATTTGTAAATATATGGGCTATACAAATAAAATGCAATAGATTGAATGAAGTGATCATTATTACCACCACAATCTTTTCACAGCAAGAAACCATGTAAGGCGGCAAAGACAACATACGCATAACACCATTCAAAGGATGACGTTCTCCAGGTATGTAGCACAGTCTCATGACGCTGTGAAGTTTTTATAAGATGTCGTGTTGACAGGTCTTTGTTGTAGGTTGGCGTGTTGAGCCGAGATGGCGTGTGTGTATGTATCCCTTCCAGATTATTGATGTGTGCAGTTTCCATGTGTTGTACCCTAACAGCTGGCTGTGTGTCTTCCCTGTTGTTAGGCTGCTGTGTTGCCCTGCCTTGCCTCTTTACTCTTTACTCTTTACTTCCGGAGCTTGCCTCTAGGTTATTTCTGCTTATAGCCGCACTGCCTGCACTGTTTAGACGCTCTGCCTTCATGGTTTAGACGCCGTTTTAATATTAAGTATTATAGTTCAAGACTGACCTCAATCAGACCGTGACTCGTTGGTGGGGGTTAGTACAGCATAGTGAAGGACCTGCCGAACTGAAGCATGTTGCATGTTTTCTTTCGTTGTGATTTGAGTGTGCAGTTGTTTTGTATATAGATATGTTGCTTGGTTTCTGTCTTTTCCTTTTGTTTGATTATTTTGGAGCAGTGACCTCAGGTTAACTCTGTCCGTTACTGCACCTGGATTGTGGAAAGCACGAACTATTGAACTGGTTTTAAAAAGAAACTTAACTTAATAAAGATATTGTTGATCACTGTGAATAACAAAACTTGTTAAATGACTCGACATCGTGCCTGTATTCATTTGTGTATGTACCTGGGCATGGGTGGTTTTTGGGAAACCCTCTCAGAGAAAGTACCAATTAAAATGAAATAGTACAATACACTGACCTGGTTTTCTGGAAAAGGGTAAAAGCTGATGTTGCAGCCCTGTGGCAGGAAGTGGTGCTGGTGCTTTACAGAGAGGTGAAAGGACACCTTTGCCTCTGCAAAATCAGAGGGGGTGTAGTGGAAACAGTCTGTGACCAGAGACCACATGCTGTGGAGGAATCTACACTATCACTTAATCTTAATATTTTTGGACTGAAATGTCGGGGGAAGTGCAAACAGGAAAGAAATGCTACTGGTATACAAGGGAAAAAATTATTCATGAACATGAATAGCTTCATTTCTCTTTCTAGATGGAAGGAAATGCAGGAATAGACTCCTCACAGTGTTAGTGTATGTGGTGTGGTGGATCAAAAGGCATGCGACATTGATGCCATCTGAGAGCGCGTCTCACTGCCAAGATCAATGTGATAGTATTACAACTGTACTCAGAGCAGTGAGTATGCTTATGCTCGCAGCTAGCCTTTTTCAGGACTGGCTGGTGCAAAAATATGGACCCGCCTTCACAGCCGGGGCCAGAAACAGACTTTCTCTGCCTCTCCCCCTCGTCTGGCTTTCTGTCTCCGTCTCCTGCCTTTTCTCTCCACCTCTGCCAGCTTCTTGGGCACCTGTTCGTGTCTCCACCTCAACCAGCCCAGTGGTGTGTGCTGGAGGAAGGCGTTGTTGGTCCTTGAGGTCACATCTATCATGCATATGTGACTCATCCCCTCCCTTTATTTCCTTTTGTCCCCCTCTATTACTTGTTCTTTCTCCATCACCCCATCCGGTCCTGGCAGAGGCCGTCCACACCGAGCCCGGTTCTGCCGGAGGTTTCTTCCACTTGGGAGTTTTTCCTCCCCGCTGTTGCTCATGCTTGCTCGGTGTGGAACAAGTTGGATTTTGTGTTTCTTAAGATCTTGGACTTTTGTGCAGCACCTTGAGACAACTGTTTATCGTGATACCGTGCCATATGAATAAATTTGATTGATTGATTGATCTATCAGTGCCAGCATCCATCATGCAACATTACATACAAGTGTCTCAGCAGTATTTATATGTCTAATCAATCAATCAGACTAAAGTTGCGTAACTGGGGTTTGAGGCAACGGCTCAAACTGATTTAGCTCAGGATCACCGTGGTGCTCCACCACACCGATGCCCCCTCTGGGAAACATTCCCCCACTTATAAACAGTCCTCTGTAGTATAGGTGCCTTGCAATTCTCTGTCGCCCCCTCAGTCCTCTGACCAGTTTTTAGCATTAATCAAAATCAGGGCTCAGACCTGCAGGTGAAGTTACACTTGAACACTTGGAGGCACTTGTTCCCATTTAAAAACATACATAAAAAAATCCCATCTTTTTATTTATGTGTGTTTGCATATGCGAACAAAAAGACAAACGAATCGAGAATTTTTCACAGTGTAGCCTCATCCAGTATGAACGGACTGAATGTTTACGGTGACCCGCAACTTTCACAACAATCATGGCTTGTGAGTATTTCATTAAAATACATTTGGAAAACTCCAAAACTATTTTCATTAAAGCACTGGTTCATTTAAATAGCTCTTAATGCCTCATTGTGTCTCCTCATCAATAATACATTATTATCATCGATCACTGTGAATAACAAAACTTGTTAAATGACTCGACATCGTGCCTGTATTCATTTGTGTTTGTACCTGGGCATGGGTGGTTTTTGGGAAACCCTCTCAGAGAAAGTAAAGTAAAAATAGATTCTTTAGATGCAAGTCCTAAGGTGGCGTTGTTGGTATTCAATTCTCTAGATCTGCCACTTGCAGTTCAACTGATATTGCCACACTATGTATGGGACAGTTGAGACCAGCGGATGAGACATTGCTGAATCGTGTCAACTAAGGCTGATAGTAACACAGTCGCATTGTGGGAACTTTTGGGTTTCTCTATATTAATAAGATTTTAATGTCTTGACCTTCTGTGTAAAGTGCCTTTAGATAATGTATATTAGGATTTGGCGCTACACAAATAAAATTGAATTGAATACACAGTTCATACTGGAACTACCTCCTCTCAGGCATAAGTCACCCTCCTTCCTCCAACTAATTCAGAACGCAGCAGCTCAGCTTTTCACTGGTCTTAAAAGGCAACTTCACATCACCGCGTTCCTTGCTTCTCTTCGTTGGCTCCCTGTCTGCTTTTATGTGTTCAAGTTGTCATGTGACACAGCGTTCATTCAGTCACTTAATTTGAACACTACCTTGTTTCCAACCACCTAAATGTGGTTGTCTAGCCTCCTTTCACATTGCATCCTGCTGATTATTTCTCTTATATTTACTTTTCTTACTGTTAACAACGCACTTTGTTTTTAAAAAACAGACTACTTTACTATTATTATTATTAAAACTCTGCCCACACATCTGCATTTCACCCAAAGACACAGGGGATTACCGTGATATTTCCATTACAGCAATCTCTGGACAAGAAAGGGTGGCTGTGGTTCAGGAACTAGAGCAGGTGATTCACCAATTAAAATGAAATAGTACAATACACTGACCTGGTTTTCTGGAAAAAGGTAAAGCTGACTCATTTGTTGCAGCCCTGTGGCAGGAAGTGGTGCTGGTGCTTTACAGAGAGGTGAAAGGACACCTTTGCCTCTGCAAAATCAGAGGGGGTGTAGTGGAAACAGTCTGTGACCAGAGACCACATGCTGTGGAGGAATCTACAATATCACTTAATCTTACCATAAATTCAAACACTGCCTTTTATGGTTCAGGACTCACCTGATCCAGCCCTAACTATAGGCTTTGTCAAAGAGGAAGGTTTTTAGTTTTACTTTAAATGCTGGGACAGTGTCTGCCTCCCGAACCCAGAGTGGGAGCTGGTTCCACAGGAGAGGAGCCTGATAGCTAAATGCTCTACCTCCTGCTCTACTCTTACAGACTCTTGGAACCAATAGAGAGCCTGTGTTTTGGGAACGAAGTGATCTACTTGGATAATAAGGTGTTATCAGCTCTTTAATATATGAGGGGGCGTGATTGTTGAGGGCTTTAAATGTGAGGAGCAGGATCTTGAATTCTATTCTGAATTTTACCGGGAGCCAATGTAAGGAAGCTAAGACAGGAGTGATATGATCTCTCCTTCTAGTTCCTGTCAGCACTRGTGCTGCAGCATTTTGGACCAACTGGAGACTTTTAACAGTCTTCATGGAGCATCCTGCTAATAGAGAGTTGCAGTAATCTAATCTAGAGGTTACAAACGCGTGGACTAGTTTTTCAGCATCCTGCTTAGACAGGATGTTTCTGATTTTGTTAATATTGCGCAGATGGAAGAAAGCCGTCCTAGACACTAGTTTAATATGGGGGTCAAATGACATGTCTTGGTCGAACAACACTCCAAGGTTCCTCACAGTGGAGCTGGAAGCCAGACTGACACCATCCAAGGTGACTATCTGGTCAGACAGTGTTTCTCTGAGATGTTTAGGGCCAATTACAACAACCTCAGWTTTGTCTGAGTTCAAAAGTAGAAAATTTTGGGTCATCCAGGCCTTGATATCTTTGAGACATTCCTGAAGTTGAACTAGGCGATTAGATTCATCATGCTTCATGGAAATATACAATTGGGTGTCGTCTGCATAGCAGTGGAATTGTATGTGGTGCTGTCTYATAATGTTGCCTWAGGGGAGCYTATATAAGGTGAAGAGTATTGGTCCAAGGACAGAACCTTGTGGAACTCCATGATTAACTTGCATGTGCATGGAGGAGTCATTGTTAACGTTAACAAATCAATCAATCAATCAATCAGACTAAAGTTGACTAAAGACTAATGTGTGTTTGCATATGCGAACAAAAAAGACAAACACTTATTTAGAACAAGATTGACTTTATTTCCTAAGAAACTTGTTTAAGTGTTAAATGCATTGGAGTCATAATGCACCCAAAACTGGCAGCATTCCCAAAACCAAAGATAAATTCTCTACAAATGTGACTTGGGAATCAAGATCGACTGATTTAACTGTTTAGTTCTCAATAACTCATTATTGTACCTGAAACACTGAGATTTGCTTACCTATAAACTACAACCTCAAATTATATTCTATCCAAGCAGTCATATATATATATTAACACACAGCTCTCCACATCATCACCCCCCAAAAAACATCTTCATCAGTATAAGAAGCACAAAGTAATGATTATCGTTTCGACATTCAGTCTTTTGATACCATAGAAATGAACTTATTACAACAAAACAATAAGTAAACAGCTGAAAAATATTTACTCAGAATCAGTCAAAAAAAATTATGGCAAAATGCTCGAGTGGTAACACTGAAAGAATCAAACACACATGGAATCAAATTTCAAAAAGACAGAAAAGGAGGTAATGTAACAGCTGGGGCAGAGCCGACTCAAACAACCCAAGGTCATTTTAATACAATACTCACAAGTCATACTCAACGCTCACTGTGAGAATATCCCCTTTGTGCCGCGACTGCACTGCAATGGACAAAAATACACTCAAGTGAAATTGTGGCTTCGAATGAAATGGTTTGCAGCAAATTAAAAAAAGCTTTGCAGTATCAGTTCAACACTGGTTGCAAAAGTAACAGAATATGAATCTGTTTTTGGTTGTTTTGCATTGAAAGGCATCTTGGGAATGTTCTAGGCATTAAACAAAGTATTTAATGTGTTGTACTGATGATCGATCTAAAGACATAAATGTCAATCCAAACCATCACTTTAATATTGTCTACAGGGGACAACGAATGTGGCTGTGTGTGGACACTGTATAGGAGTGGTGAAGCATGTGAATTATGCATTTGCATATTTATCTTATCAAATTGTTCATCTTGAAGATTTAGCTTTTATATTTGTTCTTTTTTTGCACCGCTGCTTTAGTTTTTTATTAATAATAAAAGAGTTTCTTGTGTTATGTGATCGGGCCTAGATTGAGATGAGAGGAAACACCAGACGTGACTGACTGGAGTTGGCAAAATCACGACTGTTGAAGCCTCCTAATAGCTTTGGCTAATTTGTGGCGATGTCAGATAACTTCATAAAAACACTGATGCAGCGTCACACAGCAACTGAACAGTGTGACGACATAATAATCTGAGTCTAAATTTCTTCCAGACTATCTCTGTCACTTTTGGAATCATTTCTGTTTTTTGCTTCAAGGAGCTTAAGACAATATTTTCCAATGTCTTCTTTTTGTTTTGGACTGTTTGTCAGTTTACTATAATTTTAGGCCACAAATTCTTACATGTGTGAAACTGGAACCAACTAATTTTAGCTTTGATAAATTTAAATTAAACAATTAACTACTGTAATTGACAATTGTGCAATTTAATCTATAGAATTCCTTCTAGGACACATGCATGTTGTATACTTCACATTCATTGATTACTACCTTTGAGCGGGGATAAGACAAAGTAGTTTTTACCAACATACTCCTTATGGAAAACTTTTGGTGTATTTTTGCGAATTTTTCACAGTGTAGCCTCATCCAGTATGAACGGACTGAATGTTTACGGTGTCCCGTAACTTTCACAACAATCATGGCTTGTGAGTATTTCATTAAAATACATTTGGAAAACTCCAAAACAATTTTCATTAAAGCACTGGTTCATTTAAATGGCTCTTAATGCCTCATTGTGTCTCCTCATCAATAATACATTAATATACAAACACAGGAAATGTTATTTAAAAGCCATTTCTAACATAGTCCACATGTTCATTTAACAATGAGTTGGATGACAAAAGCTTAAAATGCATATTGAGCTATAGAACCCACAATGTGTTTAATTGAGTTATAATGACTGGATGCTTGCTTGCTGACATGTACTGGCGAAATATTGCAGAATATCACAGTCACACACAGACTCACACATTCATAGACAGATGTGAACATGTACTGGAATGTTAACAAACTCAAATACGTGAGAATCAGACAGGACGATAAACAAGGTGCTTCAATATTAATAATAAATCTCCTTGGCCGAGCAAATGGATGTTTAAGGACAGAATGGGAGCATCTGACTAGTTCCTGGGTTTAAATGACTCAGTGAGTTCAGATCAGGCCTCAGATTCACAGCGCTCTCTCTGCTGGACCACAGATTCAGGGCCAGTGAAATACCACGAGGTACCTCAATGTACGACGATCCAGTGAAAGTCTAACAGGGGGGTAACAGCTGAGTATTTCAGAAGAAAGGAGTAGTACATTTGTAAATACTTAGTTCCTACAGCAAAACGACTTATGATATGTCTGTAACTGAATCCAAACTATTGCAGTGAAGGTAGGGCTGGGTATCGTTTCTGAAGGTTTTTGAAATGTAATACCAGCACCGATTCCAAAAATGGCAGATCACTGCCCAAATAAAAACTATACAGTTATAAATGTGTTGTATAAGTTTGGAACTGTATGTTTGAAACAACAGCAATATGAATATTAGGGGCTGATTAATCAGATGAATCCATGCTGTACAAACTTACATCAGTTAAAGTTGATGTCCAAAAAATAATATTTCAAAATGTGTAACATTTTCTCCAAAGTTAGCATAGCGGTTGGGGGGGTCGGTATATTTAAAATCCACTATCCGCCGTTAAGTTTTGATGCGCTATTGTTCTTGCACACTTAAAATGACTTAAATGATGCATTTATGGATTGTGAAAATAGTTGGTGATTAATTTTCTTTTAATAACTTGTTTCTTCTCTTAGATTCATATTTTGGCTGTTTTGAACTTCTACTAACTTGATTGTTGTCAGATCTTGTGCCACTTCAGAAGTCGTACACTTTATTGTTTCAACCTTGAATATTTACAGTATAAACCATCCTTCATTGTTTCACGGTTCAAACCTTTTTGGCCATATACACACTACGCCTGACGGAATTGTTACATGAGGATATAAAGCGCAGATGTACCCCAAAATAGCTTAAATGATCGACAGTGCACAACTTTAATGTGCAAATCTGCTTTCCAACAGCTTGACTGTTTTTTAGTGTCTCAAACGGACGGATGCTTGAGTACACAGGCACAAACATGCACACACTCACACACGCATACATCATCCATATTCAAATGTAGCTTTGGCACCCAGCAAGGAAAACGTGAGGAATGGAAATTCAGAGTTTAGTGTGAAAGACTAAACTTGGAAGAAAAGCACAGCAAAATTAAAATAATGTTTGTGTTTGTAAAATAGTAATTCAAAGTGTATAAAACAACATAGAATAATGATTGCAATTGAAAACTCCAAATGTAATGGGCTGGAGATGAGAAGTGAGAGCAGTGGATCAACATAATAGACAAATAAAATCAGTCTTACTCCAGTCATGTCCAAAAACTACTTTCCAGCCATAGATGATATATATAATATATATAAAACACAAAGAAATGTTTTTTCTTTTTACAGTGTGCAGACAGAACTGCACTACCCATGAGCCTCCTCTTCTGTGGAGCTTTCTTGGGCACTACTCCCACCTGTGGAAGCCGACCAATGACAAGAGAGCTTGGGG